GCACTTCAACAGCCCAGACTAGAGTACTAACAACAGCGCACTTCAACAGCCCAGACTAGAGTATTAACAACAGCACATTTCAACAGCCCAGACTAGAGTATTAACAACAGCGCATTTCAACAGCCCAGACTAGAGTATTAAAAACAACGCATTTCAACAGCCCAGACTAGAGTATTAAAAACAACGAATTTCAACAGCCCAGACTAGAGTATTAACAACAGCACATTTCAACAGCCCAGACTAAAGTATTAAAAAGATTACAAAGACCTGAGTTCTACTAATATCTTTAAAGGAAATGTAGAGTTTCAAAGATCATATATATATATATATATATATATATATATATATATATGCTCATATATTTGCTCATATATATATACACATTATGCTCATATATCTGACATTATGTGTATATATATGCACATAATGTCAGATAAATGAGCACCTAAAGAACTGCAAGTAAAATATGTCTTATGGCTTAGTTGGCAAAGGCTTGACTTGAAAGCACCAAGACCTGAGTTTGATCCCCAGAACCCGTTGTTTAATAAAAAAGACAAATCAAGAGCCAGAGAGGAGGTTCAGAGGTTGAGAGCTCTGACTCCTCTTCCATAGGACCCATGTCCAGCACAGACATGGAAGCTCACAGCTGTCTATAACTCCAAGATCTAATTCTCACACAGGCATGCAGGCAAAACACCAATGTATATTAAAACAAAACAAAAGCAAACAAAACAAAACAAAAAACTCTGGGCATGGTAGTTCACACCTGTAATTCCAGTTCTGAGGATTTGGTGACTATAGGATCCCTCAGGTTGGCCAGCCAGGCAGCTCAGCCTCCTTGGACTAAAAAGAGGCCCTATCTCAAACAATAAGGTGGCTGGCACCTGAGGAATGACAGCTAAGTTATCCTCTGGTCTCCATATGTATACACACATACAATAATGTTTTGTATTTTAATCAACAAAAATAGCATAACAAAAATTATTAAATTTGTTTCAATGTGAAAACCCTAGTACACAAGATTTTTAAAGCCATGAATGCATGGAATGTTGGACCTTTACTGTTTCAATTAATCATATGTTAACAAGCTAAAAAGGCTGACAAAACATTGGTTTTGTAGTTAGCACACTCACAAAACAGATGATTTGCCAAGAATAAGGTTAGGGACTAGAAGTTAACAACTTCTAATAGGAAAAGTTTGAGTGAATACAAATATTCATTTATTTATTTATTTATTTATTTATTTATTGATGTGGGAGTGTCATATATCAATCTGTTGATTTCATTGGTTAAGCAATAAAGAAACTGCTTGGCCCTGTGGGTGGAGTAAACAGAACAAAATGCTGGGAGGAAGAGGAAGTGAGGTCAGACTCCACATCTCTCCTCTCGGGAGCAGACGCCTCAGAGAGACGCCATGCCCCGCTCCCGGGCAGACACACGCCATGAAGCTTGTATCCAGGATGGACTAGGCTAGAATCTTCCCGGTAAGATCGGTTCTCACAGATTATTAGAGATGGGCTGATCGGGATATCAGAATTAGACAGTAAGGGCTAGAGCTAAAAGGCCAAGCAGTGTTTAAATGAATACAGTTTGTGTGTTGTTATTTCGGAGCATAAGCTAGCCGAGCAGGCGGCCGGGGTGCTGGGAACACAGCCCCACCGCTCCTATTACTACAAATGGTGCCCACGTGGACAACTGAATCCACAGAAAGCCTGAAAAAGCTTGGGAAAGAGTAAAGCATGTTTTCTTGATAGTGACAATTTCTCGGATCTACTCTGCTTGCTAGAGGCGACCAAGCGCCTCATCTAAGAGAGGCTTCCTGACTCAGCTTTAGCTGCAAAGCCTGCAGCTCATTAAGAGTTCCTGCAACGAAACACTTAAACGGTGTTGACGAAAAGCTGAACGCATGCTTTTCGGTTTTCAGCCATAGCAGGAAAAAAGCTGCGCCGTTTAAAAATGCCAGCTTTCTGGGCTGTCCTGCCAGGGCAAACTCTGACTCTTTTATGCAGGCGGTTCGTGCGGTTTGCAAGCACAGGCTGCTGAAGCTCGCTTGCTGGCAAGGACCTTGAAATGCCATAAAGTTGTGGCAGTAAACATGCCTACAGACGGTACCTCAGCCATGAGGCTGGAAAGCTAAGGAATGGACTGGATCTAGCTGGCAAAGCCACGCCTTTAATCCTACCCATATTGTTCAGTAATTTAAAGGCTCGTGTGGTCAGAAAAAGAGAGATATACAGTAAAGAGAGATTCAAAGACAAAGAAAATTTCTAAATGGTTTGAAGTGTGTTAAAAATATATGCAGACTAAAAGTTGAAGTTCTTAAAGTAACAAAAAAAAAGGAAGAGAGTTGTTGTGTGTGGTACACACCTTTCATCCCAACACCTGGTAGGCAGAGGGAGATAGACCTCTGTGACTTCAAGGTGTGGTAGTAGCACATGCCTTTAATCCCAATGCCTGGGAGGCAGAGACAGGCAGATCTCTGAGAGTTCAAGGATAGCCTGGTCTACAGAGTTACTTCAGGTCAAAGATACAGAGAACCTGTCTCAAGAAGCAAAAAGTTAAAAGTAAAAATAAACAAAATAGAGGTTAAAATAAAATGAACAAAGATGGAAAATACACAGAGAATCTTGATAATGTATGCTATTATGCTCTCTTTGAATTGTTTGAATGCTGAGGAAGGAGCAACAGCTGCTAAAAGATATTTATTTATAAATGCTGCTGAACTAATCCAACATAGATATTTTGATGCCTTGACTTTGAAATTTGGATCTAAGGACATGATGCTTTGGAAAGGAGTTTCTTATTTTGTTTTCACAGAGGATGAGACGCTGTTCATTTCTTCTATTCCGATTTGGTATGATGGACCACGCCCTCCTGAAGGGTTGGTGTAAACATCTTCAGAAAACTGCTTCGCTCAACTGCCAACTGAGAAGAAACTAGCACACAGGTTATACTATGAAAGACCTAATTAACGATGCCCCCATTCAGCAGGAAGCAGTTTGGAGAGAAATAACTGCGCCCATATTCCCAAAAAAATGTTTATAAATGTTCTTTTACATTTAAAGGGGGATATGATATAGATATGAATAATTTGCATTAGTATAGATTTTGCTTTATTGATAGAGATTTAAGGTCAATTTTGTTATATGTCTATGTATTTCTGATCTTTATTAAGGTATTGTGATTGTGTAGTTCATTATTAAAATGTAATGTATAATTAGGAAATATAGGTTATTGATGGATAATCATAAATAATAGTCAAGTTTGTAGTCATGTTAGTTAATATTTTCTAGATGTGCGTAGATATATTTTAGATAGGCATTCTTCATATTTTTCAAAGATTATAGAATATGGCATTTTAAATGTTTTAATAACTTAGGACTTTTCATGACAATGAGACACTCTGCTCCTGGCAGCACCAATCTACTTCAAGAGGAAGATGGGCATCGAAGAGGCTTGTTATGGAGTTTGATAGCCATTTGGGCAAGAAACTGCTCTTGCCTGGACTATTGTATAAACTGGAAACAGAGAACCCCCAGAGAGAGGACTACTGAACTTGCCTAAAGGTGAGATGATCTTTCGGGATTCCTGATTCGTGAAGGAGTCTGCAAGACATTCTGCAGGACACAACAGATAGTGACTGAACAGACTTTGAATTTTCCTGCGTTATGGAAATGTCTGCTGGATACTATGGGCCTGAAGGCTGAAGATTGATGCCCCAAAGGTACAAAAGAACTTTGGGTGACTGTACAGGCAGTGAGATGTCTCTGTCATTTCTAGAATTTTGGACTTCTTGTTTACTTAGGTAATATTATATCTTTCTGGAGTCTTTGATGGAGTTAAGAATAGTTAGTTATAGTTATAGTTTTCCTTAGTTATGATAAAGATTATTGTAACTTTTACTTGATAACTGTTTTGTTATATGTAATTTTGCTATGTTAAAGTTAAAGCCTTCTTTTTTTTTGTTTAAACAGAAAAAGGGGAAGTGATGTGGGAGTGTCATATATCAATCTGTTGATTTCATTGGTTAAGCAATAAAGAAACTGCTTGGCCCTGTGGGTGGAGTAAACAGAACAAAATGCTGGGAGGAAGAGGAAGTGAGGTCAGACTCCACATCTCTCCTCTCGGGAGCAGACGCCTCAGAGAGACGCCATGCCCCGCTCCCGGGCAGACACACGCCATGAAGCTCGTACCCAGGATGGACTAGGCTAGAATCTTCCCGGTAAGACCGGTTCTCACAGATTATTAGAGATGGGCTGATCGGGATATCAGAATTAGACAGTAAGGGCTAGAGCTAAAGGGCCAAGCAGTGTTTAAATGAATATAGTTTGTGTGTTGTTATTTCGGAGCATAAGCTAGCCGAGCAGGCGGCCCCGCCACCCTTAGTACTACAATTTATTTATTTACTTATTTGCATTTATTTATTTATTTATTTGCAAGCCAGGGTTTCTCTGTGTAATCCTGGCTGTCCTGTCTTGTCCTGTCACTCTACAAACCAGACTGGCTTCACAAACTCAGAGATCTGTCCACCTCTGATTCTGAGTGCTGTGAATAAAGGTGTGCACCACCAGACTGAGCAGGAATAATAGATTTTTGAGGCAAAGTTTTACCTATTTCCACAGTATTTCATATACAGTATCTACTGTACAAATATACTGAATGAGAAGCAAATATAACTACCTACTAAATGAAGGATTCTCCTCTAAATATTACAAAAGAATGTATTTTTTCAAACACAGGGCTCTTTAAGATTTATAATAGGGTATAGTGGTGCATACCTTTAATCCCAGTACTCAGGAGGCAGAGGAAAGTGAGATAAAGGTCAGCCTGGTCTACACAGCAAGTGCCAGACCAACATAGTGACATAATGTCTCAACATAATATATGTGTGTATGTGTAAACATGCACACATACACATAATTACAGACAATGCTTTTTAATTTCAGTTACTTAGTTTCAGGTTTAAGGCAAGAAAAATAATGATGAACAAAGAGGCATACCAATGAAAGTGCTGCTTGAGTCTGATGAAGAAGTGGTTCCGGGAGAGAGGAGAGGTGAATGCATTCAGGAATTTTAATAGTGCCTCCATCCAAATCTGCTATGATTACATCTAACTGAAAGAGATTTTTAAAAGTAACCATAATTGATAAAATATATTTGTTGTTAAACAAATTAATTAACCGTGGCTAACTCAAACTGAGAAAAATCAATTGAGGAAGAGGTTCCTGGCTATCACAGTAAGTTATAGGTTTAGAACTTCATTACATTTCCCAGCTTCCTATGAAATTAGGCATTATACATGAGTACACTTCTGTCACTGAAGGATGAAAAAATATGTGCACTTCACAAAAGGAGTATCGTAGGGCTCTTTAATGTTCTCTTTCTTCTTTCCATAGGGAAAAACTATCAAGCATTAATCATCCAGACGGTGACACTACCTGAGGGGATTGTAACAGACAAGCAAAGAAGGAAGGAGGATTGGATGGTAAGTGATGCCATGGAACAAACTGTTTACTCAGGCACATTGGAGAGTTTCAATGAAGTGCTATGGTTAATACAATGTCATGTTAACTGAGCTATTGAATTTGGAGTCTATAAGAATCAATAAACAAAGAAATATGCACCAAACAATTACTGTTTAGATGCAAACCTAGCTTGAAGTAGTAACACACCTGTAATTCCAGTCCAGCACTTGGCTATCTCCAGCTATGTAATGATTTCAGGTTGTGATCAGCCCATGACACATTAGACCCTATCTCAAAACCGAGACTAAAATAGACAGAAACAACATCCTAAAAGATCATATTTAAAAATAACTTATATAATTATAAAATATTTTGATGATGTGACTGCAATTCATTCTATTTCATTAATTAAACTGTTAAATCTACAACTGGCAAGATCTGGTTTGCCCTATCTCTATATTTAGTAGTACTAAAATTATTTCCAAATTGTATTGGGCCTAATTTTTAATAAACATGTTTAGTAGTTTACACATCTTTTTATGACGACACTGAAGTTAAACAGAGCTAGTTATTAAATGCCATGTTAGGAGGACTGATTGGTATACACGTGAGAGTCTTGTCTACTCTTTCCATAGTGTCAATGATATCTCTGATGTGGTTCCAGCCACAGTTGCTATGTGAGGAGCCTCAAAGTCTCTTTCTTTGCTGGCACTGACAACAGAAATAGCGTTACAAAGTCTTGTGGGTTAAGATGTCATACAACCAAATCCTTTAGGTAAAGAAATTTTCTTATATGCTTCCTGAAAAGTGCCACATAATCTGCTCCCTTCACTTCAGTCCTAGGGCTTCAGAGCATACTCCTCATCTCACATTAAAAATCCCAGGCCATTACTAGGCCGTTCTTACATCTGCAAACACGCTCAACAGAAATTTGTTTCTCAATCCATTATATCTATGGATGCTATTTTAATGTTTTATCGCTACAAACAACCACTACCTTCTCCTTCTTCCCTATGATGGTCCTTAAATACTGATCTTTACTAAATGTATCAAGTTGTCACTCAGACAATTTCATCAAAGAACTGCAGTTTCTAAAATTTGATTCTGATGTCCTCTGATGCACACTGTTACAGTCCTACTGAGAGCATGATATCCAAAAGCAAACAGACTATTCTTGAACTAGCGTTAGCTTCACTTTAGTCACATAGATTAGGAATTTGGTGGGGGCTCATACTGAATTTGAGTTCCACTAAATTTAAACTTTCTTCAAACCATTTTATTCTTGCTAGTTTTCAGGCATTCTACATTGGTAGATCTCATTTTAAAACACTAATAAATTAAGCATTCGTAAGAAAATTATGAATAAAAATAGATTATTAATCCTTATCATCTGCAGCAGTGGTTCTTAACCTGTACGCTGTGGTCCTTTTGCAGGTTGAACAACTATTTCACAGGGGTTGTTTAAGACCAACAGAAAACAGAGATATTTATATTACGATTTATAACAGTAGCAAAATAGTTATGAAGTGACAATGAAAATAATTTTATGTTCAGGGGTCACCATAACATGAAGAAATATATTAAAGGGTCACAGCATTAGGAAGGTTGAGAAGCACTGATCTACAGGAATACAAAATTCCTCATATGAGAACTATGGTAAGATAAAAATGATCTGCTACACAAGGGCTAAAGCGAGGCACAGTGGCACATAGCACCACTTACTCAGAAGGCTGACACTGAAGGACTGTCGTGAGCTCAGGAGATGAGGCTAGCCTAGGCCATTCAGCAAGACCCTGTCTTTTTTGTTTTATAACTGACTGGTTAATTACTTAATAAATGTTTGTCAGAGAGATGTGGGGGGCACACACATGGCATGGTACATGTGTGGAGATCAAAAAACAACTCCCAGGAGTTGATTCTTCCCTTCCTCCTTGTTTGAGGCAGGGTTTCTCTTATTTCTGCCACACTGCTCACACCAGAATAGCAAACCTATAGACTTCCAGGTGTCTCTCCTAGCTCTGCTAGGAGTGCTGAAATCCCAAACACCACTTCTATGAACCTAGGTCAAGTATTTTTACCCTGAGCCATCCCCCTGTCAAAAGTTGTCTTATTCATAAATAAATATATGAATGAATTAATAAATTCTTTAGAACCTACTTGCAAAATTAAATATATTAGATTTCTTGATGTTGTTTTCCTTCTACTCTGTCTTTTCTATGGGAAATGCACCATTATCTGAAAGCAATAAATGATGTGAAACCTTCTAAAACTCAAATACAAAAACCTCAAGCAAGATGTGGACATTTACAGCTGGATACTTACAAGTTCATGAATATCAGTCTTAAAGATGGAGTGTACGCCAATTATGAAAGGAGTTGGAGAACTCAAAACTTCTAGCAGCTGAGCCGGAAGAATGGGAATGTAAGGGTAACTGAAAAGAATAAAAATATTTTATTTATGCTATTTTCCCACAATGTGAACCCATTTCCCTTTATTCTTATGCAGTCTGAACTATAAAAGTATATTTGCTAATTATTTGGGAATTTCACACCATATATTTTGAACATATTCACTGACTCCTCTCCAGCTCCTCCCCAGATAAACCCCTACCAACCTATGCCACTCTCGGCTTCATGTCTTCTTTTTAAAATTTTTATTAATTATTATTTTAATGAATAAAATTAATTATTATATAATATAAATCCATTAAAATAATAAATATTATTAATTGTTTCAACTTACTACAATGTACTTCTATCATAGTCACCACCACACTCCTCAGATTCACCCCACCTCCTTACTTGCAAACTCTATCTATATTCTTTTGTTTTTTTACAGTATGAATTTAAATTTATTCATATTTAGATCAAGTGGGCCTGGTTTGGTGGTGCCAGCCTTTAAGCCTAGTATTTGGGAGGCAGAGATAGGTGGCTCTCTAAGAATTTATGGCTGGGTTGGTCTATATACTAAGTTGTAGGCCAAAAAGGCTAGGTCTGCATATGAATTCACAGCAGTTGTGAAAGCATGTACAGAGCCCGTGCAAGTCCAAGCCAGACCAAATTTGGCATGGAGATGGGAACCAGGCATTCAATCCTACCTCTAGCTATGGAGCTATAGTAATTGTTAGCTGCTAGGAAAGGGAGAAATGGTTTTCTCTGCAACTGTAAGTCCACCATCCTCCAGCGGAAGACCACACATCCAAGATTATTTGGGCAGCAGAAAATGACCTTGAAAATTTTATTTATTTATTTTTAAGGATACAAAATTGGGTGGGTAATTAAGGAGAGTGGATCTGGGAAGTGGTAAGAGGTGGGGATATGATCAAAACATGAATGAAACTCTCTAAGAACTAATACATCTTTCTTTTTTTTTTTTGGTTTTTTCGAGACAGGGTTTCTCTGTGGCTTTGGAGCCTGTCCTGGAACTAGCTCTGTAGACCAGGCTGGTCTCGAACTCACAGAGATCCGCCTGCCTCTGCCTCCCGAGTGCTGGGATTAAAGGCGTGCGTCACCACCGCCCGGCATTAATACATCTTTCTTAAAGCACTGAAGAACTAAAGAGAAATCAACTTTATTGCATGGAATAATTTTCAAAATCTCAATGTTTAAGATAGGATCACAGAAAATAAAACACAAAGTAAATGGAAGTCAGGTAGGTAGGTGTCTTCCTTCTTCCTCCCAAAATGCATGCTGTTCCAAAGCACTTTTCCTTATGCAGGCCCTGATATCAGAGGGGAGCACTGGCAGGACCTGCACTCTCAAGGCAATGAAATGACTTGTCTAAATTACACTGTGCTTGATGTTCACATTCAATACCCATCCAATTTTGTATCCTTAAAAATAAATAAATAAAATTTTCAAGGTCATTTTCTGCAGCCCAAATAATCTTGGATGTGTGTTCTTCTGCTGGAGGATGGTGGACTTACAGTTACAGAGAAAAATTTTTTATGAAAATTCCAGAGGTGATCTAAAATTTTATCTAATGTTCATAAACTTTTAAAATTCTGGGACAATATGATTAGTAAACTAGATCAGAGTAAAATATTCTACCTGTAACATGACCTATCATTATGGTTTAATTTTTAAAAACTTTTAAAATTTTTATTATATTTAATATGACTCTTAAAAATAAGTGGGAAATTTATAATGAAGTTCTGTCTAATCTAGGTTTCACAATTACCAATGTATAGCCACATATGTCCACTGACATATGTTCAATTCTCTATGTTACACTGAAGTAAATACTTTGCATTATTTATATACAAATAATTTATGAAGTATCTAAAACAGATAGGGACTCTTCATTAACAGAATTCCAATAGCTTCTAAAACTTAATACATTAGGTTCAAATGGCACTAACAAAATAATTTTATCAGAATTGAAAGATAATTAAATATTGATGATAAGTTAAATATTTCATTAAGTTAATCATCACTCAGTCATGTACATCTTGGAAAAGTCCCAAATTTGAGACTAGACTTTATTAGAATCATAATTCTGTAACTTCAATAAGAGGTTCAATAACAAACCTCTGTGGTTCAAACTAATTGGGTCCTGACTCTCCCCGCCTCCCCAATGGTTTCTCTGTATAGCAGACCAGGCTGGCCTTGACCTCACAGACATCCATCCACCTGCCTCTGCCTCTTGAGTGCTAGGATTAAAGGCCTGTGCCACCACCACCCAGCCTGGCCATGACATTTTGACTTATCAACAAGTAATGCATAATATGGGAATAAATACAACTACCAAGTAAAAAACTTCACCTGTATTTAAGAGGAAACATTAAAGACTCCAGGGCTCGACAGGCATCACTAAGTCTCTGGAAACTTGCTGAATGGAAGAGAACTTTATTTTCTGTAAGGACTGCACAAAAGAGGTTGAGGACATTTTGAATTCCTGAAAACACAAGAACAAAGGCTTACTTAACACAACAAACTGTACTGTATTGTTACCAATCACAGACTGTTATGATAAAGGAACAAAAGTAATATTCAGGGATCTCCCAAAGAAAATACTTGATTGACTTAACCGATACAACATATAATAATAGCTGTCTTCCTGGATGTCTACTCTTTACACTACTGTGATAATCATTGAGCATATGGCCTGTAGGAAAATTTACAACTGCCTTCTTCATCTCATCTCCAAGGTCTGTATCTAAGTTCCCATTAGAGATGTTGGCATTGGTTTTTGTTCTCCTTTAGAGTCTATTTGTCTGATGTTAAAACAGCCAGGTGTTTTAAGATGACATTTCAGTCACCAATAATCATATATACAACAGTGGTATGATAAGGTCATAATAGAGGTGACAAATTCCTAGTAGGACAATGTGGCTGTCCTAAGTATCACTATTCGATGCATTATATATTTGTGATAATGTAGGCATAATAAAACCATCATTAGTCATATGAAAGTATAGCACATACAATGAGGTGCCATGAATAATGTGATCAATGACAATATAATTGGCTTATGTATTTACTATACCACCATTTTGTTTGTTTTCTGTATTCCTTCTACTTACAAAGAAAACTATATTGTGTTATGCTAGCAGCAGTCTCACACATTTTGTATTTATAAAATGTTTTGTATATTACATTGATTCTTAATTGCATCATTTTCTCTTGTGCTTGATTTAATCTGTTATTTTGCACACGTGGCCCTCAGTTTAATAAGCTATGCTGTCTGTTTTCACTGTATAGCCTAGATATGTAGTGAGCTATACTATCTAAGATATGGAATTGGAAGGACATATGCTTGAGGATGTCTACCCAAGAACTTCTTGCTATTCTTTGACATAACTTTATGAGGTGAGTAGCTAATCTGCTATTCACTCTGCTGACTTACCATAGGACCATAAAATGGAGCCAGCCAAACATGGAGTGAATCTCTTAAAATAAATCTTTCAAAGGTAAGAGCACGGACTGCTCTTCCAGCGATCCTAAGTTCAATTCCCAGCAACCACATGGTGGCTCACAACCTTCTATAATGAGATCTGGTGCCCTCTTCTGACTTGCAGGCATGTGTAGGCAGAACACTGTATACATAATAAGTAAGTAAATAAACAAATAAATATATTAAAAATTAAACTTTTTTCTAAGTTGTTGTGGCTGAAAGTATTTTGTCACACTAACCAAATGCTGACTTACACACATGGTTTTCTATCTTTTTCCTTGAGAGTCTGTTGTTGTGGAATATTAATTTAAGATGTGTTACATTTGTTTATGCTACAGAATATTTGTTTAATGATGCAAAGATGTATGGTATTCTTTTATGTTGTATTTATTTAACTCTGTAAAGCTGTGTTACTTTGCCTACCTAAAACACCTGATTGGTCTAATAGAGCTGAATGGCCAATAGCTAGGATTTGTCATTTCCATCATACTCCGGGTCCCACGGCCATCAGCATTCAAACAAAATGCTTAGTCACCCTAGGTGCTAGCATCCCATGGTCACACATGTGCCATCAGCATTTAGGCAAATTGCCTAGTCACTCTAGGGCCTTATGTCCTATGTAATCTATGTGCATGCACCACATGGCATTGTAATCTCTAGGCATGCACAGCATGGCTACGTAAGCCCCTATGCACATGTGCTGAACTACCTTTAAAAAGCAGACATGTCAGCCCACATTCTCTTTCAGACAGGCCTGTGCACCACACTCTTTCCTTTCTATTAATAAAAACTCTTAAAGTGGGTTTTGTTTTGTATCTTGTGGTCTATTCTCATGTATGGTGCTAAGGCTCAACTGGCTCTCATGCACCCCTCTCCTTTGGGCCAGGATCCTGGACCAGGTTCATCTACAACTGACCATATTTCATTTGCCAGGCCACTGGATCACTTCTTACAACATTGGCTATGTCAGTTACTGAGTTTGTCCTCTTGTGGTAGGCATAAATGTCTCCCTAAACCCATAGGTGTGGCCAGTGAGCATGTGGCCCCCTTCCGATGTTCTTGGAAACTAGGGTACACCCAGCCACTGCCTTCAAGGCTATGCCTGGCCCCTTTTGCCAACAATCACCTCTGGTGAGCATCCAAACAGACTAGGCTCCCATAAAGCCAGTACATTCATTAGGTTCAAAACCCAGTGCCATTGTCCTTGGCTTCTCAGTCAGCCCTCATTGTCCACCAAGTTCAGAGAGTCCAGTTTGATCCCATGCTTTTACAGTCCCAGTCCAGCTGGCCTTGGTGAGCTCCAATTAGACCAGTCTCAGTGGGTGGGTGCACCCCTCGGCGGTTCTTACTTCCTTGCTCATGTTTTCCCTCCTACTGCTCCTCATTTGGACCTTGGGAGCTCAGTCCAGTGCTCCAATATGGGTCTCTGTCTCTATCCCCATCCATCGCCAGATGAAGGTTCTATGGTTATATGCAAGATATTCATCAGTATGGCTATAGGATCGGGCCATTTCAGGCTCCCTCTCCTCAACTGCCCAAGGATCTAGCTGGGGGCATCTCCATGGACACCTGGGAACCCCTCTAGAGTCAAGTCTCTTGCCAACTCTAAATGTCTCCCTTAATTAAGATATATACTACCCCTAAATTTTATATAATTAGTAATCTCAAATTTTAAGATGTTACATTCATTTTTATTCCCAAATAACAAGATTTGTTGCTGTGTTCATAGCTAGTTACTTAGAAAATAACTGTCTTAAGCTATGACCAGATGCCTACTTAATCCTGAATACTTTCCTAGATGCTGCTGTCTATTTCCATCTAATGCTGCACAGTAACAGTAAAGGAGACACAATGGAAAACACTTTGTGACACTTTCCACTGAATAGTAAATAAATATGTCAACAAACGCTATGTCTCCGCTTTCAAAAGAGAAAACTGAGGAACAGAAGAATATACTTTTGTAGTGATATTTTGTTTGTTTTAACAATTAAGCTTGCCTGAAGATCAGAGTGCAAGCTAAGCCACTAGAGCCCAGGGAGTCGTGACGCACACCTTTAATCCAAGGATTTGGGAGACAGAGGCAAATGGGTCTCTGTGAGTTCAAGGCCACCCTGGGCTACCTGTGATTGAATAATGTATAAAAGAGAAACAGAGCTTACACAAAGTTAATCCCAGCACTAGGGAGGTGAAGACAGGAGTGATATGGCTGGGCAGAGAGAAAAATAAGGGCAGGAGGAGACAGGAGTTCATTGCAGTCTGAGGACAGGATTGTCCTTTTGGTCTGAGGATTTGGTAGAGATAAAATGTCTCTCTAGAGGCTGGCTACCCTGCTTCTCTGATCTCTCTGCTTTCACCCCCTAATATCTTAGTCTGGGTTTTTATTATTAATACCTATTAGAATTCATGCTACATACTTTTTGAAAAGAATGTAGCTTATCATGTGTATACATATGCTCATACAATGTATGTGGGAGTATACACATACATGTTACATGCCATGATACACATGTGGAGGTCAGAGGACTATTCTGTGAATAGTCTGGTTTTCTCCTTTCACCTTTATGTGGTTTTGGAGACAGAAATCAGGTCAGCAAGCATGCATAAGAGCATATTCACCTGCTCACCTACTCACAAGCCCAGAAGGCTATACTCTGAACACAAGATGTATTCTGGAAAGCCTTATTTTCCTTTCTGATCAGTTTATTGCAGGGAAAAGTTTAATAGTAGTTAAGGTTTAGTATAGTCATGAAGATTTCTCATTTAATTGATGAATATCTATTAATTGCCTACTTTCTCTGCATATTAGATTATTACAGTGACTTATTAGACTTCTGAGATAGGACAGAAAATGCTAAATTCTTGGGGATTGAGATAAATATAAGGTAGACTCTTAGAAGTTCACAGTACAGTGAGGATGTCAAATTGATAGTTAAAACACACGAAAAATACAGATACATATAATACGAAAGACAGCACAGAAAAGAGGGCAATTAATCCTCCTGCCACTTAAAAGCTGTATCCTCACATGTTGAGGAAGTATGTTTTATAGAACACTAATCTCTGAAAGGACTGAAAGTTTACACAAGGAGAACTTTGTGACAAGAAGATCAACTCTTTAATTAGGGTCCTCTTGCCACAGAGAGATGTTCATGTTCAATAAAAGATAACTAAACAGACTTATTTAATAGTAGCACTCAAGTGCCATAAATAATGTGAATAACTGGGGAGATGATTGAGATGATAAAAGATCTGAGATCATATATCCCCAGCACCCCTAAAAGCCAGCCATGGCCACACACACAAATAACAGAGTTTTATAAGCGTCTTCAAACATTCCTAGTTTTGGTTAGTCCACCCTCTACTCCATTCTCCCACTCTACTTTAACATTTAGAGTCCTATATTCGTCCCTGCTCTTTCATATCACGTGTTTTATTCTTCCCAATGTTATGTGGCCATTTTTTCCAGGATTAAAACCTCCTATCTTGGAGGGAAGCGGTCAAAGGTGAGGTGAAATAACAGATGCTTCTAAGGAGAAGTGAAAACATTCTATCCTACAAAGAACCTCCTTTAAGATGAAGGATATAAGAAGGAAGGTGAGTCAACAGGACATTCCAAAGAGTGGAGAAATATTCCTTTCTGCAGCAAAGTCATTGAAACTGACTTGATTCACTAGGCCCGTTCTTCACCCCGCCCCCCAAAGCAGTAAAGACTACTGGAAGACAATAAAAAGGCGGATCAGCCAAGCTGCCTGGAGAACAAGAGAGCAGCCAAACTGCTCTAAAGAGGTCAGACCAACTGACCTACTGGGAAATGGCATGCTCCTGTATGATGGGTTCTTTGCAGTTTGTGCAGTATGCTCCTAGTTTTCAGTTTTCATGAGACGTGACCCATGCTGGAGTAGGTTTTCAGTGATGTAGGCTCCTTTGAGTCATTTCTGCTCCTGTAAGTAATGCCTCACCCCGACTTGTGTAAGTAGTACCAATAAGTAGCATTCATTGGTTCATCAAGCTGGGCTTTGGTGATATCTGTCATTGGTTCCCTACTTTGCATGAGTAAATGTTTCCTTGTGTCTCCCAAGAACGGTGTCACATAATACCTTTTCATTGTATTTTTTTTTAAACTTGGACTTCAGGATCAAAGTTTCCCAAGTAAGAGTGAATCCATACCTGGTATTATAAACATAAGCAAAATCCATGGCTAGGGAAGTCACAGGACCCAGGGCAGAATTTTTTGATATTGTTTTTTCTAAATGCCATGTTGTCAAACTGCCTTCTAAATAATTGTTTAGATTCACAGATCAGTCACTTTCTTTAAAAACTGTGGCCACTAATAGATTTCCTATGTTCCAATAGACAGCCCCACACCCACTAGCATATGAGCAACAGTAATTGGACTGTGTGGGTTAAAAATAAAAGTTACAAGAGGAGAACATGAAGTTAGGAGGGAGATACAATGGTGGGTCCTGAGGGAATTCATGGGGAAAGAGTAGGGGGGTGGATCTGACCACGATCTTTTACATACATGTTTGAAATTTTCAAAGGTAAACAAACATTTTTAAAAATTGCTGTGTTTTTATTACTTGGACTTAAAATTTTTTAAACTCCAAGCAGCTTCAAAATGTATCCTTAGCAGCTTTACAAGACCATGGTAGTTTCATCTTTATTGAGATACATATGCTTCATATATTATAAAATGTCCTGTTCTGTGCTTCCAGACCCATCTAATCCCCTACTTGCGATGGAGTAATTCCACTTTATAGGCTGGCCTTAAACGTCTGCAATCTTTCAGTTTTAGCTTCCTGAGTACTGTGATTATAAAATTCACTGCTTAGAGGAGTACAATTCAGTGGTTTTAATAAAAAGTCATATACTACTATTAGTATCTAACCCAAATCAATTTCATTACTCAAGAGAAATCCTGGACCTTTTAGTACCCCAAAGTAGCCTAGCCTCTGGGAAATACTATTCTAGTTTCTGGCTATATATATTTGCCTGTCCTGAACTTTTCATATAGGCAGAATCATACTATATGTGGTCTTTTGTTTCTGGCTTCTTTCACTTAACAAAGTTTCAAGCTACATCTATGATATACCATTTATCAATATTACATTCCTTTATATGGCTGAATAAGTTGCCACTGAGTGAATATACCATAAGGTATATTAAAGCATACATTCATAACAGACATTTAAGACTACTTATTTCTGTTTTGTATAAGGATGCTTATTCAAATTCACACATCTGCAGACAAGTTTTCAGTTAAGAATTTTGTTTTTTCTACCACAGACTAGATTGCAATTAAAGAAAATAATCATAAATTATTCATTCTTTTCATGTGACAGTTTTCATTCGACACAGCTATTTTTAATTTAATCTATGTTGGATATATCAATAATTCATTCCTTTATATTGTAATTGTATATCCCAACTCATGTATAGATCAAAGAAATTAATATTTACTATATTAATATATTTCTAATATTAACTCCCTATTACACTAAGACTGCTTTCATTTTTTTTACTATCATACAATGGCTATGGATATTTATGTGTAAATTTTTTTTAATTGAAAAAATTTCCAATGTGTAAATATTATTTTTATAGATATGTATTATCATTTCCTTTGGGTAAATGCGTAGGAATAAACTTAACTTAAACAAGTAAACAAACTGTAGTCCAATGTATCTTTTCATATTCTAGTTAACAAAGAACAATGTTCCAGTTCCTCTATACCTCCTCAAATATGCAGGCAGGCAATCTTTTGACCAGCTATAACACCTGATGTGACCATCTAGAGATGGCCTTAAGTTATATATCTCATTACAATCATACCAAGTAGTAAATGCCAAGTGTGTCTTATCTATCTCCTTTCTTTGCTGTAAGTTGCTCCCAAATATCCAAACTATGCCAAAGGGGTGATACAAAAGTAAGTCCCTTGGGAAGCTTGCTCCATTCTTCCCTCCTCCTGACACAGTTAAGTTACAATAGATAATACATAGTTTCTTTATATTTTCTTTGTCACATCAGGTAAATCTAACTTAAATCTTTTTTTCCATCCATAGGTATCTATAAGAACATTATTTTAAAATCCAGGATAAGACATACCTAATTGCTGAAATAAAAGAGCCACACTAGTGCCTGTGACAGGAAGACTGTCATGTAAAGGAGTCTGGATCAGCTGTCTGTCTCCTGCACCCAAGGAAAATAGCTTCTGCATAATGAGAGAAATATATATAAAGTCGTAAGAGACAATAGGAGGCAGTAACATATAACCTAAAGCAAACAAGTTACACTGTGTACAACTTAAAGTATCAGAAAATTCAGTCCATGAAAGTTAAAAACGTAGTAGATGAGACACAAAAATCACTGACAATTTTAACTGACTAAAAACGGAGCTGCAGAGAAGCCATGGAGCTGCCAGAGGAGAAAGATGCAAGCTGCCAGCTGGAACCTTGCTGGTAGGCCACGAGCCTTATGGTAAAAAATAAAATAATAGAAATGGGTTAATTTAATATATAAGAGCTTGCTAGAAATATGCTAGAGTCACTGGCCAAGCAGTGCTTTAATTAATACAGTTTCTTAGTGATTATTTTGGGTCTGAGCAGCTGGGAATGAATGAGCAGGCTCCTACAACATAGGATCCTCCTTAAAACAAAAACATTTAAAGACTTTTTTCTCTTTCTTTATGATCAAGTCATCTGGAGAGGGCAGGAAGAAAAAAAGCTTATCTGCCTTTCATTCTATTTACCTGAGATCCTCCAGCAGCTGGGACAAGGCAAGCACAAAGATTTGCAATGAGACTTTCCAAAGAGACACTCAGGCTGTCCACGTACACTGTATAGATCAAACCCAAGCAAGCCTGCAGAGAAAGGTGCATGCAGTCATTTCATGGCAGTGTCACTAAAAATAAATAGTGACATCTCTTCTAGGAAAATGTCTCTTTGAACCACGGAAATTATACTCTACATTGAACATGAAACAAATCTTAAGCAATAAATTAAGTTTATTAAATTTTTCTGTAGAAGCAGAACACCCACATGAGCTTCCAAGATGAGTTTATAGAAAGCAGAAAGCCATAATTTGTAAAACAGGTATCTCTGTTAAGATAACCATTCCAGCTAATTTGCAAGGCTGAATTTTTGTTTTCTATACAGTTTGCCTGGTGGTTTCTAACTTATTTTAAGAACTCCATATTTCAAGATAAAAATTCAGAGATACTGTTTTATGGTTCTTATAAATCCACAATATTTATAGAACCTTAAACTTCTAAGAATTATAACAATAAACAGCAAAGCAAGCACGATAATAAGACTAACATTTTGAGCTCAGAAGACAGTAAGTGGTGAAATAAGATAAAATGCAATCTTTCTTTTCTTTATTTTACTTGTGTTTGGGGGGTGTGTGCTCATGTGTAAACACGGAAGCTAGAGAAGGGTTCCAACAGTTTTCTTCAGGAGCTCCCTACCTTATATTTTGAAACAGGGTCTCTCTCACTGAATCTGGAACTCATGGGTTCAGTTGGACTGGCTGGCCTGTGAGCTTTGGCAATCCTCCTGTCTGCCTGAACTGTTTCCTCCATCCCAGCACTGAGGTCAGATATGTGGCCAGGCCTGTGCTTGGCTTTTTACAGGATTGCTGGAATCTAAATTCAAATCCTGTTGTTGGTGCAGCAAGCTCTTTTCTCACTGGTTCCTTTTCTTGGTCGTAACATACACACTCAATCAATCTTTTAGCTTACTGAAATTTGTGACTAAAAAATTAGTAATTGTCACTAATTTACAGTATGAAATAATCACACACACACACACACACACACACTGAATAGTATGTCACAAAACACACTAAAGGAGTCATAATTGTCACTGTACTAGTGAGGGTGCTATTTATTCTAAAATGCATAATCTCACTTTCTAGTTTTTATACTTGAGTATTAGTACAGATATTTCCACTTTCATACATTTTTATATTTGAAAAGTCTGAGTATTACAAAAGGGAAAAATCTGTAAGGAACAAGTAGTGCCTCGTAGGCCAGGCTTACCTAGGACTTCGGATCTCTTGTTTCTGTCTTTTATATACTAGAATACTAACATGGGCCATCATGCCTGGCTTTAAACAATATTTTAAAGACACGATCAGAATTATCTGAAATCTCACATTATCCTATTTACTGTAGCCTAAGTCCACAAGCTTAATAAACATGTTCACAGTTGTTATGCTATGTGTACATTTTAAATTTCTTGAAGGTAATCAAATTATTTTTATGATTTATAATCTTTCATTTACTTAACATAAAGTCTGTTTTAAAACAAACCTATTCTTATTAGTGTGACTAGCTATGTTAACTAAGGGTTGCTTTCATCCAATACAAATTTGTTTCTTCCCCTCACAGCGATCTCATTTTATTGGTGAGTCACTAACTCACTCTAACAGGATTTCTAGTGCAAGAAATCTTGTTGCCTTAGTTTATTCAAAACCAATTTATACAATAATATAGATTAAAAATTACAACTGAGTTTTTTACCCTAAAAATTTCTGGGTAGTCTAATCTGGATACTAAGACGAGGCTTTTGGGAGCAAATACTTCTGCAGGTTGAATTAAAGCAGACACTTCTTCACCTTCAATATCTTCCTTCTTTGTTCCCTAGAAAAAGAAATTACAATCAATGTACAAAGTCTCCCAGGTTCATAATTCACACAATATATTCAAAGAATGCAGCATACAGATAATTTATAAGAATCCAAATTAATTACAAATATTAGGCAAGAAATGACAAAGTAAGAAATATTTCTTTCATTATTTTTCAAAACTCCTTACGCTACAGATATGTATACCAAATTTGAGTGTTTAATTTCTAAGGAATCAAGGTAAGACATGTATAAATTAATCTTAAGTAATGACCCAAACAATTAAAAATGTTACTTATGTAAGTGGAAAGTCATTCTTTAAAAGAATGGAAAAGGTCTACTCTAAAAATAATGCACTGATTTTCATTTGTTTTCCTATTTGGCCCAATATTTTCCTCCTGTGGGGATTCTTAGGCCTGCAGAAAAGTAAAGCACACTGTGTTGTCAAGTGCTTCTGTTCACATGCAACAATAATAGTTGCCTTAAAAAGAAAACACTTTGTACAGGAAATAATTAGTGTCATGAAAATGTAGGCTTATAAACGGTTAAAATTTAAAGTAGAGTTACAACAAAAAAACCAAAATTGGAAGAAAAAAAACAGCCTAAGTTTCGACAACTAACTACTAGTCAATAAGCCTGCAAAAATATTATTTGGAATGCTAAGGGTTAAGAACACTGGCTAGTCTTCCAGAGGACCCAGTTAGATTCTAGCCCCCACTTGGTGGCTCCTAACTATCTATAACTCCACTTCCAGGGGATTTGAAGCTCTCTTCTAGCCTCATGGCACTACATGCAAGTGGTACATAAACTTAAGTAGTCTGATGGAGGAGGGTCATGGTCATGTGTCTATGTGTTACTTTCATTGGTTAATAAAGAAACTGCCTTGGCCCTTTGATAGGACAGAAAATTAGGTAGGCGGAGTAGACAGAACAGAATGCTGGGAGAAAGAAGCAGATTCAGGTAGACTCTATAGCTCTCCTCTCCACGATGGAGGCAGGTTAAGATCCTTTCTGGTAAGCTACCACCTCGTGGTGTTACACAGATTATTAGAAATGGGTTAATCAAGATGTGAGAATTAGCCAGTAAGAGGCTAGAGCTAATGGGCCAAGCAGTGTTTAAAAGAATACAGTTTCTGTGTAATTATTTCGGGTAAAGCTAGCCGGGCGGCTGGATGCAGCCCCACAGCTCCTTCTACAGTAGTCAAAACACCCATTCACATAAAACAAAACCAAAGCTTTGGATGGGGCCATGAGGCCTTGAACATGCTTTGTGAGCACAAGGGTGGGAGACAAAGCACAAGGTGGAGCAGTGTGCTGCCTAGTGCCCACCGCAAGAACCACACACTGCCATTAGCATGTGCCTCTTCTCACTAAACCTCATGGTGGCCAAGTCCCACTTCTAGTACATATCACAGTTAAAGAAGAGGTCCTAGGAGAGATTGTGTATTTGGATAGTTGTTCGAGAAGTTACCAAGCAGGAAGAATTTCAACATCTGGCTGCACTATGATTCTGGCAGTGGCACGCATAAATATTGTCAGTACCGTGACCAGAGCACAGAGGGAAGCACCATGTATTCCATCTAACCGCCATCAGTATGCAGTGGTATCACAGAGGGAAGCACCATGTATTCCATCTAACCGCCATCAGTGTGCAGTGGTATCATGACAGGCGCACTCATACATGATGCATTCAACCATCAACGTAGATGAGATGGCAACTGTCAGCCCTCTGTCAAATAATCCAAGGCTTCAAGACGAAGTTCTTGTTGCTCCAGGTGATGCTAGCAGAAGCTGTGCTTTCACCACTAAGAGGCCCAACACCTTTTTCTAGATGGGGAAGACCACCAAATAAAGTATACTAAACAGTTAAAAAAAAAAACTTAAAAAAATTTTTGAATCCACAAATATTACCTGTGTACTTACTGTTTGAAAAGACTCTGTTTTAAGATGAGAGTGGGGAGAGCAAGCTAATGAAACACTAAGATTTGCTAGAGGCTATTCTGAGATTCTAGGATATTTCCTCTAACTGAAGCCCCTTTTCTCTTCCTTTTCCAGTATCTATGGTACAGTTTAAACTCATTTCCTCCTCAAACTTTCCTTTCCTGACCTTTGCTCTCCTGCATTCCAGTATGGCTTATCAACACATCAAAAGTGCTTATGCTTGCTAGTCAATATTTCCCCAAATGCCACAAAATGCCGTTGTCTACTTGACATAACAAACATGGTCAAAAGATAATCTTTCTCCCTAAACTTCATTCTCCTATAGTAAGTGGCCCGTGTGTATTAATGGCAATCTCATTTTTTTTGTGTGGCAAAACTCAAATTATGATTTTTGTCTCAATTACAGTTCATACCCAACTGTCAAAATAGACTGACCTCTCAGTTTACCCACTGATACTACCAAACAGCAAGCCAACACCCTCTTTGGATTATGACAACAGCCTGTTTTCATTCCCTTTAAGCCTTATTCCTCCTTGCTGCTCTTCAGACACACTATGTCTATCTACTGGGACCTGCTTATTGTTTCTTCACCTAGAATGCTTTCCAAGTTAATGTCTATCGTGTTCCTGTGTCTATGTCATGTTCTTCCTATTCTAACAGCCACGGCTGACCTCTCTATCTGAAACTGCAGAGTCTAACATCCCTTGTCCTTTTTCTTTTCTTATTTTCTTTCTCCATGCTCTTATCACTATCTAACACATCCACAATTTTTAATAACCTTAGCCTTTTCTTTCATTTTCTACTTTTTGGTCTGTTTCTCATACAAATTAAACACAGGTCAGGATTCTGTTTTGTTCAATGATGATTACTGAGCTCCTAAAACAAGGGCTGGAACATGAGGTTATTACCTGGTATTTGTTCACTGTATAAATGCAGGAATAAAAATTTCTTAGAATGGTTTTCTGGGTATTTCACCAAGAGACATTTTCCCTTCTCACTTAGAGGCCAGGAACTATACTTTCACTTCCCTTTAGAGTCTACTTGGTTTCTAGGACAGTGCAATATAACCAAAAATTTGATGTCCAAGAAATGCACACATCTAAAGGGAACTATTTGTATTAAAAAGGTCCATATGCTCTTGAAAGGGAAAGATCTTGATTTGTTGCAAGGAGAGGGCCCACTTATTCATCCCAGCCGCCCAGCTAGCTTACACCCGAAATAACCACACAGAAACTTTATTAATCAAAACACTGCTTGGCCATTAGCTCTAACTTCTTATTGGCTAACCCATCTCCATTAATCTGTGTATTGCCACACTGCAGTGGCTTACTGGAGATTCTAACCGGCGTCCATCTCCGGCAGAGGATCCATAGCTTCTCTGACATTGCCCTTCTTCCTACCACAATTCGGTTCTATCTTCTCCACCTACCTAAGTTCTGCCCTATCAACTAGGCCAAGGCAGTTTCTTTATTCATTATCCAATGAAAGCAACACACAAGCAGAAGGAACTCCTGCAGCACTGATTTGATACAAAGAACAAATAAAATGAGTCTGGTTGTTTTTTGGAATCATTAAAAATAACAGAAAAGTGATGAATAATAATTTACCAAAATTTCCAAACTTAATGAAATCATGGCCTTTATGGATTATTAAAAACTCAAAATGGCAAAATGACTGAAATTCATGGAACAGATAAACCTATCCACATTTTTATGAGATTGTGATAATTGCCCTAGATTATCATTAAAATACAATTCGAGTAAGCAGGTGGCCATTTCAAATAAATGACCATGAGACTACTTTATCCAAAATATAAGCAGAATGTGTAGCCATTACTTAAAGATGTTCGTTAATTAAATAACCACCAATTATTAACAAAAAAGGGATCAATACAATGTAAATCAGTATTAAGTAAAAACATCACATTTTACATTTTTACACTGATTTTTCTTACAGATACTGAGTTTTACTTTATAAATCCTGAAATACTGTTATTCTTAACCAAGTAACTGTAGTAGTCTAAGAACCAATGCCCTGAAGGTTGGGGATGAAATTCATTAGTGAACATGTGCTTAGCATGCACAAGGACCTAAGCTCAATCTCCCAAAACTAAGCATGTATGTATGTGCATACATTCCTGAAGGCATTCCTCCCACCCCCACACACAAACACAATGTCCCAAGTTTAAAGAAACAATCATAAGTCCATTTTGAAGAAAAAAAAATATGTAGGCAATTGTTGAGTAAAATAAAGTATTTCTAAAGATAATATAATGTTTCAATGATTTTTGCTAGAAATAATTTATCAGGTCATGGAAATAATGCTTCTTCTATTTTGAGGCTAAACTATTTTGTGTAATAATTATCAAGGTTTCCATGTTTTGTTTTGAGGCAGGGTTTCACCGTATTCTAGGATAGCTTAAAACTTATATGTAGCCTGAGATGGCCTGAGCTCATGGCAATCCTTCTGCCTCAGCTTCTTGAGTGCTGGGATTATGAGCATGAATAACCATGTCAAGCTTGGCTTGTATATTTAACAATGAACAAAGTTTTACTAAAAAAAATAAGCAGGAAATTAAACATACTTGAGAGATTTTATGATGTTTTGAAATTTATTTGATATTGCCAAATACTGTTACATTATCTAGCTCAACATTATAAGCCATCTAACTTAGAGTTTTTTTTTATTTTCAGTATGCCCCACTAAAGCTGTAAATTTACCATAAATGACATTTACTAAATTATCTTGCATTGATTTGGAAGCCCACCTTATCTTTTTAAATTTTCTTTTATGTGCCTTAGTATTTTGTTTGTACGTTTGATCTTTTCAGCACATGCATGCCTGGTGACTGAGGAATGCAGAAGGAGGGAATCAGATCATCTGGGATAGGAACTATAGATGGTTGTGAGTTGCCATGTAAGTACTGGGAATTGAACTCTGGTCCTCTGGAAGAGAAGCCAGTTCTTTTTTCTATGGAACAATTTCTCCAGACCGAACTCATCTTTATCTATCTTGGAATCACTTGCCACACCTTATCTATTAGTAGGTATTTGCGTCTATTGATTATTACAATGAA